ATTTTTACTGTTCGATAAGGCTCTTGTGTTCAATTCGTTTTCAAGAACTATTCTACACACTGAAATGCAACGAAAACCACAAGAAAGTGAATAGAATTTCAGATGGTACTTAATGCAACTTACCTCGTCGATCGCCCCTCCGAACTTCACTGATCTTATAACCTTGTGTATATCAAGCACTTGTGGGTATAAACTGTACGTTGGATGCTGGGGTTGCTGTAGCAGTGCTTGTTCCAAATCTGCCATGCGTCGCAATTGTGAACTACTGGCTTCCACTTCCACATCAGTAGCTAAAGAACGCAAAAGCAGTTCGTAATAACTGGCCAGATGGCCAGTTCGAGCNGCCGGTCGTTTCACAAAGGGTTTGATTGCAAGATCCACCCGGTCATCGGCTGTATCGACCAAAGCCTCTACGGTCAAGGGTGGCCAATACTGTTCTCGATTATCATGATGCAATCCAATAACAGAACACGATATTAGGAGGATGACAGTGACACACAACTTGTACATCATGATGACAGTTACAACATGAGAAGTACCTATTTTATAAGTTGCTTACTCACAAAAGTCATTATCGGATTAGCGTGTGTTAGAATACGTTTGTGCACTTATTTTTCCAAGTATGCATGCGTGTATAAAGGCCAATGAGCACGTGAGCTCTCGGCTCGCGAATTCATTGGTGCAACATAGCGTGACGAAAGAACTGCAGGCTTTTCGTTCATTTTTCATTTTATTGTCTTTCACCTACTTTTCTTACCTGATTACAGGCTAAGAGACTCCGGTTTGTTCCTCCAAGTAGAAGGAGTAAAGAGACAATCAACGGGATGACACACGTGAGTACGTTGTCAGCAATATGTGTTATAATAGCAGTACTAAATTGATGATTGATTCCAGTACATGAGAGCATTCATTCTACTCTGCAAAACCAAATGATCGCTATGAATTGCGGAATAAAAAGGGAAGTTTTCATCAGTATTATAAACAGAAAAGGTCTAACGATGATCACGCAACATTTTAGCATCACGAAACTGGGAACCGCGCTTTTAATTTTGCTGAAAGATGAAGGACAAAAGGTAATCAAACCACAAGTATCGAAAATAATGACGACCAACTTGTGCGTCCGGCTGAATGCGGTAATTCCGGGTTGGCAAATATAAGTCAGAAAGACTAAGAAAGTCCACTTTGAAACAGATTCCATTGTGTTATCGACAAATTGAAAAGGATAATTTGAAATTTCAATAACAGACTAGTGTTGGATGCTATAAAGCAGATTAGTATCAATACCAAGAAGGAAAGGCAAGAAAATGACGAGTTCTTTTCCCAAACAGGTGTGCTATATTTAGGAAAAGCACTTATTTGACCCCAACATACATCTGAGGACGCATCAACTTCCAGTACTTCCAACGACCGACTAAGGCTGTATATTCGTAGTGATCCAGACTTCCGTGACCGCAATCCATGCACGACAAGATACAGTTTCATGTTATCCAATCACCGTTCAGGAAGCCCGACCAATGGTACACTGGGGGAAACGTGACATCCGAGTTAGTACATATGATGCGTCGGCGCAAACGGTTACGTAATTGGACGACGGCCCTTCAACCAATCATATGAGACATTTCCTTCTATAAAACATGCTCTAATTCCATCAATAAACATAAACATTTGCTGCTATCAATTCCTTGTGTATTGCATTGGTGTCCGCAGTTTGGGTTGGAGCCAATTCAGTTCTGAGCAGTTCAATATGGATTCCCGTATGCCTAAATTCAACATTATTGTGATTACTACAATATTGTAGTGCGGTGAAGTGAGTCAACCAACCCAGTCACGTGCAGAGTCCTGAGTATTTCCACAGAAATGTATCAAACAGGCTCAGAACCAGAAATGATGTCAATACTCGGATAGCGCGAAGGTATCACAACAACCTAGGGTATGGCTGGCGCCAGACGATTCTGGTAATGCATGCTTTCATGGAGATCCGAGAAGTAAATGCGGTGGATTGTAATAACCCCTGTTGCAGCTATGGAGAGTGTGATAGGCGGAGTTTTCTTTTTCAAGGACGGTGCCTATAAACGGAAGTATGGTGAGGGCTGGCGCCAAAAGGTCAATGGTAAAACAGGACCGAATTATACCGATAACGGAGAACGCCAATATCACCACTTCCACCAAAAGAGTTATGCGGAAAAACATATAGAGCTATTATCCTGTCTACTTCTGAAAGAGCACCGTTCTCCTCATCCCAGGGAATTTGTTTAAATGGATTTCAGAAAGCAGCGCTATGGCTCATGGGAAAAACATAAACATGGTAGTAGATGATTATCTCAAGACATCATAGAGAGAAGAATCGTTTTTGAAAACTACTTGAAACATGGATGAATGACATAGCATCCTTTCCTGATGCACAAGCCCATCGTGGTTCTAGCCAGATTCTGAGGGCAATCGCAATGAACGGAAGAAGTGAATTCGTGATCATAGCTGAATGTTTGACTAAGGCCAGTTCTCAATAACAATTTATTGCCTAAGATCTTCAGCACAAGAGGCCTAACCCTACAGGATGGTAACGTCCGACCACAACACCCTTTGATTGTGCATCAATACATCAGTGGATTGTGTTTCTCCTTTGACCAGCCTGATTTCTGGGTCTCAATTGGATCCCAATCGTTTGAGACCTCTTGGAGGGAAAATATAGGTAAAAGCTATTCTTAACTTCATTGTCCTGGGAAAGAACTTAAAGCAAAGGTGGGATTCATTGGCATATAAATACGTTCGAAAATTCAATACTAGCATACGTTTGACTGTTGAGAGGTTAATAACCAAAATGGTAATAATACAAGCGACTAAGTAATACGATAATGTTTTTAACGAGGTTTTGTAGATGACAATCGATCTGTCACCCCGATTATATATTTATTCTTTGCCCTGAGCCTAAAAGTTATATGCTGACCAGTCCTGTCGGTTTTCATCTCTCCTTTTTTGTCTCATTCCACATCGCGCTGTGCTAGAGCCCAATTATTCATGATTTCTTAGTCATAAGACAGTAGGGTGAGCCTCTAGGTAGTCCTTATTCAACCTATGGAATTTCAATGAACTATGCAGAAGTTGTTGGACAGTCGATCTATGACAAGTTATACTCAAAATGTATAAGTTTTGCATGAGTCACTGGTTGAATAATGGTATAAGGAACTATCAGAGATTTTGGGTTGGGACAAAAGTTTGATGATTATTCCACCGATTTCGAACAAAGACTGGCGGTGATTGATCATCTATTGTAACTAATTTCACAGGTGCACAGTTGTTACATCACTTTGTCGTTCTCCTCCGCGAATGAATGTTGATAGTATCGATCACTGACAATGAGCAGCAACTAAAAGCAATATGAAAACAGTCTATCTACTTCCGTTTATTTGAGAGAAAACAAAAGTGTAATCAATATTTACGTAATATATTATAATAAAGTGAGTGCCTCAGATTGACGACTGAAAACATTCGAGCTCATGTGGCAGGGTTTGAACTTCCAAAATATCAAACGGAGAACAGGTGGTTTATTTTGCTTGAATAATTAACTGCAGTAGCATTGGAACTAGTGTGAGCTTAACGATCGGACTGGACCGGGTATGAAGAACCAAGAGGTTGTCGCGCGTGTCTGAACACAAACATGTCTGTATTTTGAATGGATGACTGAAGTATTTTTGATCCATATTCGTGAACGGTGATAATTTACTTTCACACATGGAAACAGTAACCATAGTAAGATTATCCTCCCCCCCCCTCCCCCAGATTTGACTTGTCACATATACTCAAGGGACCTATACTAAAAGTGCATTCTAATTGTTTACTAAAGCACACAAAAGCCGTAGTTCAACATGCGTATGCTTGTAATAATAACACAAACAGGACTCGTAAAGAGATGTATCATAATACGATGATGTCACAGATAGCCAAATGTAACTAACGCAAACCGTCACGAGGTTTATGCAGGTTGGGAACAACCATAATTTTGTGGAAGTATTTTGATGAGGATCTATCATAGAGGCAGGAAAATGACTTGAATGAAACAACCATTAACATGTCCATTGAGGAATTCACCAGTGTCGGTAGAATTTGTCCAATCATCAATTACATTTGTGCTTCAATTATACTTTCAAGCCTACTGAGATTCCGTGTCATGAGAACATGCTTGCGAGTACGCGTTTTCTAAAGCACGTGTGTACAACTTTTCATTTTGGACCATTATGATTATCTCAGCTTGTAATCAGACGCAGGTGACCGATTGACGTAATCAGTCAGACTGTGTGCTGTTTGTTGACAAACAGGGTCGTTATTTGCCGCTGCCAGTTGAAGGTAAACAGCATCATGGTGAAGTATTAGGGACGTTGGTTGANCTTTAGGGAAGAATTGTGAATGAGTTGTTGTTTGTAGCCGTTGGGGACGGGTGTATTAATTGCACATCCTATGTCAATGGTTTAATGAAACAATCTATAGATCGAAATAGATGCATCACTGCAGATTATCATTTTGTGAGAATTTTCCATCACTCATGTATGATCATGGTGCAAAAAGAACTCAGATCTATGTNNNNGTTTTAACGATAGATTATCATAAAAATTGAACTGGACAACAGCATACATATGTAAATATTATTCGGGAACCAGAGTCGAATGCGTTTTTATCGATTCATTGAGAGGAGTTTTGATCAGGTTACCACATGCATCTTGGAGGCGGTCCAGCAGCTTTGTATCAAAGTGAAGCTATCTGTTCTATAATCAAAAGAGGCTGAAGAATTTATTTTGATGGTGCAAGCAAAAATCGGGAATAGCTCTCCGGGGCAGCAACCAAAAAACTCGGTTATTGCGCTTCGGATGCACTAAGCAAGCCAAAAAAGCTGTAAAACTCCTTCTTTTAAATGGTNAAATGGTTTATGCATTTTGGGTCACGGTTCGCTTTGCATTCCAAATCATCAGTTTGCATACATCCAACCGTTTGTTGACTTCCGAACATACAGCACGGTCAAGCACAAAACAGAACACGGTCATTATGCGGCAGATTAATCCAGCCCCGGAACGTAGAATCAAAATAATTCTGTGGTCCATCTCGCATTCACTTTCACGTTTGACTTTATCCCGCTCTCTCCATGGTCCGAATGCAAACAGCGTTTTTCTTGCAGTATACAATAGACCAGACTGAAAAAATTGTGAAGTACAAACACTGTTTATTGTTGTTCAACTGGCTTTTTCTTTCATATGGAGACATGTTTATGACTAAGTGTGTATTGTTCTGTAGCCTACCTTAAACCGGTTGTGCGTAGCAACAGAACTATGGAAAATTGCGACATCAACAAAATCAACTAACTATTTCGCAATTTGGTACGACCATTATTCTCCGGTTTTACGTTGGGTAGCGGTGGTAATGTGAAACTACTTTTGATTTCTTCCAGTTATAATGGTCAAGCAATCGACAAACTCTGTGTCGAATGTAGACGGCATCGCTCTCTACTTAAGTTCATGTATCATAGA